ACTCTCCTTATTTATAGACAAGTGTAAGAAATGAAGGAAGGGAAGGCACCATAATTGAGGAACAGTCTTGGAGTCAGAAAGTTTTAGCCTTGGGTCTTTGTCTCTACATAGCTATGTGATGTTGGGTAGTCATACAAACTTTGTGTGTCTGTTTCCTAATCTATAAAACGGCAATAATACCTGTCCTATCAATTTCAAATACATGGTTGGAAGGGGTAAAAATAAAATGCAACCAATCTGGAGACACTTTGAGAGATTAAGGAAAGATATGTATATATCTCCCCCAGTACAAATGAAAAAAAACAGGGCTACAGAGAAAGGGAAAGCACTGAACTGAGAATTAGGTAACTTAGGTTCTCGTCTTGGTTCTGTGGCTGCACAGCTGTGGAACCATGGCAAGTCAGTTAACTTTCCTGGGCCTCCTTCCTTACCTGAAGTGAAAATACTGCAACAGATGACCTCTACAGTGCCTTCCACATCTACAAACGATTCTGTAAGTCTACCAGAGAAACCAAATATGGTAAATCTCACTATTCCTGATCCGATCGGAATCTATGATTTTGTAGGATTTCAACTGAATCTTTCTAGTCCCTCTAACAGAGACACAATATTTAACTATATGGGCTTTGATAATGGTGGTAAAGTATCAGTTGTTCAGCTGGGTTCCTACAATGAATCTTTATTCTTGCTCTCTTCTGGCTGACAGAAAGAATTCAAACAGTCTTTTCGGATTATCTGATCTCCAAATATCCAGATTGTACCTGGTTCTCTAGATTTTTGAGATATCTATAATCATATTATACATTTTTATATTCTCTAAATTTATTTTTAGGTTGTTTCTAATAAATGGGTTAAGAAAATGAGCACTTTCCAATGCATTTTTACCACACCAATGATAGTATAATACTTCACCAGACATAACTATTATTATGTTCCTATTCCATCTGGCTATCACTTTCAAACTATCTTAGGGTAATACTTAATGTAAAGGGTTATTCCATTTATCAAAAATAACAGGCATTCTATAAACATTTGAATTTAATTAAATTTTGCTACTCTTGAAGATTAATGATTACTGAATAATTCACAATACTATGTCTCATTATAATCCATAGCAGGAAGAAAGTACAGTCTCCTATATGAGTTCAGTTGTTTAGCTGGTGTCACTGCAAAGTTTTTCTTTATTTCAGCAAACTTAGTTAGGAATTATGACAATATAGGAAGGGGCTTGGCTCAAATTGAGCTCTGCCCAATGGGGAAAAAAATGATTTAGGTGAATAATTTGAACAAAATTACAAGAAGCATATTAACTACAGTGGAATCACAGGATACACATATTTAACTTACTCAATGGTTTAAGTTAAAAAAAGAAGAATACAGATGATTCTGACTGAATCTATTTTATATGACCCAGAGTAAACTTTCAATGACTCTCCTGTTCTCCACTCCTGCATATCTCATTGCATAAGCAGCTCTCTACAATGAGGAAGACTATGAGTGAGCAGCCTAGCTCAGTGTTTAGATGCACGGAGCTCACCAGCTGTGTGGCCCTGGGCAAATCACTTAAAATGTCTGTGCTTCAGTTTTCTCATCTGTAAAATGAGGGTGAAGATAAAAGTTTCTATCTTACAGGGTGGTTCTGGGAAGATTAAACAAATTAACATATGTCAAACACTTAGAACAGTGCCTAGCAGTTCGTTCTATAAGTGTTATAGAAGAATTTGCCATTATTATTGCTATTTTTCTAGTGTTTAATTATTTGTACAACACAGTCCTTAAACGCAAACCAACTATTTTATCTGATGCCCAATCTAAGAAACAACATTATGTCCCAATGATGGAGGAAAAACCAGTTGTATTAGCTTCACTAAGAACAGTATATAGGTCTCTAATGTATGATTTCCAAGAGACTTCAAGAATCATTTTGAAAAGGAAGACACCGAGAGGAGGAACGCAAGAATAAAAGACAACTACGGTAATTACCATAGCACAGACAATTCTGCAACAACAGCATTAACAAACAATAATCTACAAATGGATACATAGGTAGATAGGTATGCCAAAGAGGTGTGGGAAGGTGTAAGGGAGCACACCTACCTGCAGATATAGGTTTGGTTGTGGATATTTCTACATACATAATTGTAGGTGCTGCATGTATATTAATATAGACAAGAGCACACAAGGGGCAGAAACTTCTCAGACATAAGCAAACAACTTGGGAGACAAATTTCCTAGGCTCAAAGGTGAAGGACCATAGACTCAGGGGGCATCTATGTCAAATGGCACAACACAGTTCATAAAGACATTTCTTCTATATCCTACTTTGGTGAGTACTATCTGGGGTCTTAAAAGCTTGCAAGTGGCCATCTAAGATACAACTATTGATCTCTTCCAGTCTGGAGCAAAGGAGAGTGAAGAAAACCAAAGAGTCAAGGAAGCAATTAATCCAAAGGACTAATGGACAACATGAACCACAGCCTACACAACCCAGAGACCAGAAGAACTAGACTGTGCCCGGCTACCACTACCTACCACTCTTACTGGGATCACAACAGAGAGGCCCAGACAGAGCGAGAGAAAAATGTAGAACAAAAAATCAAATTCACGAAAAAGACCAGACTTATCTGGGGTCTTAAAAGCCTGTGAGCGGCCATCTAAGATACTCCACTGGTCTCATCCCTTCAGGAGCAAGGGAGAATGAAGAGAACAGGATACAAGGAAAAGATTAGTCCAAAGGACTAACTGTCCACAGTTACCAAGGCCTCCACCGGACTGAGTCCAACACAGCTAGATGGTGCCCGGCTACCACCACTGACTGCTCTGACCAAGATCACAACAGAGGGTTCTGGACAGAGCTGGAGAAGGATGTAGAGCATAATTCTAACTCACAAAAAAAAGACCAGATTTACTGGCCTAAAGGAGACTGGAGAAACCTCGAGAGGATGGCCCCCAGACACCCTTTTAGCTCAGTGGTGAAGTTACCTCCAAGGTTCACTGTTCAGCCTGGGAGTGGACAGCCCCGTAAAACCAAATGAGACTAACGAGGTACAGGAGTCCAGTGACAAGGGCCTGAAGGCAGAAGGGGACAAGGAAGCTGGTGATAGGGAACCCAAGGTTGAGTACGGATATTGTTGATGTGTTGTGAGATTGTTAACCATTGTCATAGGGCAACATTTGTCGTAACTGTTAAATGAGAAACTATTCTGTTCTGTAAGCCTTCATCTTAAGTGAGAATAACAGCACAATTGGAAGAGCGTAGTCAATGTCACTGAACTGTGTATGTAGAAAGTTTTGAAATGGTGTATCTTTGGCTATGTGTATTTTCACCAAAAAAAAAAAAAAAGGTTGAGAATTTAGAGGGTTCATATGTTGTGGGGTTGTTAACCAATCTCATAAAACAACATGTGTACTACTGTTTCATGAGAAACTATTTGTTCTGTAAGCCTTCACCTGAAGTACAATAAAATAAAAAATAAAAAAAAAAAAGACCAGACTTATTAGTCTGACAGAGATGGGAAGAACCCCCGAGAGAGACTATGGCCCTAATACACATTTGCCCGAAAGCAAAGATGAGAAGGTGGGAAGGGACAGCAATTCAGCATGAAAGCAAACAGTGAACCCAGGATGGAAATGGGGAGAGTGCTGACACGCTGAGGCGAATGCAACCAACGTCATGGAACACTTTAGGTACAAACTATCGAATGGGAAACTGATTTGCTCTGGAAACTTTCACCTAAAGCACAATAAAAAAAAAAAGAATTTTGACTATATTATGATTTTGGCCAAATGCCCCAACTTTGCAACTTAAAACCCCACTTAGGACAAGACTAAATTGTACATAAAAATAAATTATATTTACACCTTCAAAATATTCATTCATTCAAGTCAATCAATGTAATTACAAATTATTTTTACCTAAGTTCTTAAATGCTGTTACTTGTTAATATTTAAATTACATCAAATCACTATATGTATTACACATTTCTTTCAAAATATTCACTACAGACTTTATCTTTACTAATTCATACTAGTTTCAGCAGCCATCACCCCAAATTTATAAACATAGTATTTACTATATACTTTATTCTATTTCTGGATTATAAAATATAAATTACACAGGCACCTAAAGTTCATTATTTAGATCTTACTTTCTTATATATAAGCTAATTCTACCCCACTTATATAATCTAATTCTTAATTTTACTATGCACAGTATAATCATATTTCCATATAATTTAAAAATAACTACAGTTGATATAATTCTATTACATGTAATAAATATCATGCCAGAATTGATAAACCAGGTATGTTGTTCTCATGGCTTATCCTTTATATATCCAAACTCCAAAACCAAACCCAAGTCGATTCCGACTCATTGCGACCTCATACGACAGAAGAGAACTGCCCCATAGGGTTTCCGAAGCTGTAATGTTTATGGAAGCAGACTGCTACATCCTTCTCCTGCAGAGCAGCTGGTGGGTTTGAACCACCAACCTTTCATTTAGCAGCCAAGCGCTTAACCACTGTGCCACCAGGACTCCTTGCCTGTATATATAACCCAAAACAAAACAAAACCCATTGCCGTCAAGTCGATTCCAACTCATAGCAACCCTATGGAACAGAGTAGAACTGCTCCATAGGATTTCCAAGGAGCGGCTGGTGGATTCGAACTGCTGACCTTTTGGTTCAAAGCTGATCTCTTGACCACTGCGCCACACTTCAAATAGTGGATATAATACTGCTTGCTTCAAAGGCAAATATAAAAGGAACAACCTTATCAGTGAAAAAATTTCACACTGGTTTATCTATGAGCATTTTTTAAATTTGTTATTCTAATCACTGAAACAGAAAGCCATGCGAAACTTCCCAGGACAGCCCTAGAACCTTCGGTCTCTGTGCAGCTCCTATATCCACTTCCAAAGGAGGGGGGTGCAAGACAACTGAATGGCCACTCTCCTTGGCGTATGAGGTCCTCCCGCACCCTCCATCAACCACCTAATGCTTACGGGGGCAATCCAGGGCTGGAAACAGTGATGTAAATTTCACAAATAAATAAATAAATAAATAGTAGAGTTTCTGGCAAAGAGTAGCTAGAAGATAATCTGCCTCCCCTACAAGCAAGCTAACTCTAATTGTAGTCCGGCAAAAAAAAAAAAAAATGACATAAAATAGCAAACTAGATTTTTAAAAATACACTTCCTGTAAATATGCAGGTGTTATAATTAGTTATAGAGTCAAACTATATATAATATTCTATATTTCTCTAAGTCATGTTTTAAAAAATATCACAACAGAAGAAAACAAGATACAAGTGAAAGATTAGTCCAAAGGACTAATGGACCACAACTACCATGGCCTCCACCAGACCAAGTCCAGTACAACTAGATGGTGCCCAGCTACCACCACTGACTGCTCTGACAGTGATCACAACAGAGGGTCCCAGACAGAGCTGGAGAAAAATGTAGAACAAAATTCTAACTCAAAAAAAGATCAGACTTACTGGCCTGACAGAGTCTGGAGAAACCCTGAGAGTATGGCCCCCGGATGTCACTCCCGAGGTTCACCCTTCAGCCAAAGATTAGACAGGTCCATAAAACAAAACAAGACTAATGGGGCACAACAGCCCTGGGACAAGGACTAGAAGGCAGGAGAGGACAGGAAAGCTGGTAATAGGGAACCCAAGGTGGAAAAGGGAGAGTGTTGACATGTCGTGGGGTTGTTAAGCAATGTCATAAAACACTGTGTGTACTAACTGTTTTAATGAGAAACTATTTGTTCTGTAAATCCTCATCTAAAATACAATAAAAAAATTTTTTTTTTTAATTACAATGGAAAAGATAAAATCAAATAGCTGAAATAACCCAACATATACCAACTACACAAATCAGCTACAAAAAACTACCCCAAAGTTATATATACCATATATGATAAACACATTTAGCCAAGATTTATCTTTCTTGGTAATACACAAGGAAATACATGACTACTATTACTACCGCTGACACACTTCACTGAGGTAAATCTCAAAAGGAAGAATGATTACAGAGGAGGACCTGAGGAGAGGTCACTTACTTGTAAATCTGTACTCATCCTCCCGTCTTCTTATTTCTAACTCTAAGAAAGAGGATGAAAATGGCAACATGAAAATATTACATATCTGTTTAGTTTGGGGGAATAAATAAGGAGTATCCCACCTCTTGCCCTCTTCCAAACATATTTAAAGGATGTGTTCATTAACATTTTTTCAGCTTTTCACATTATGAAAGAATTTATATGCTTAACCCTTTGAATATTTAAAAAACAAAACAAAATGCCTAATGATGGCTATTCAGTATCTAATAGTCACATTTTTCAAATACAAAGATGGTATCTATTTTAAAAAGAGAGTAGTAATAATATAAGTCTTCAATAAAATCAGAATTAGAACCCCTCACACTATAAATATAAATACCATATAACCATTTGCTCTTTCAGCATCTGAACAGTACTAAGCACTGATTTGTTGGCTGGATGAACCAGAAAAAATCACTTTGCTCCATGACTAGACAGTGCTATGTGGACCTTATAAAAATGAAGGTTCCAAATCTCCCATTAGTTATTATGACTTACACTTTCTAAAAATAAAGTAGCTGATACTACTACATAACTGTTTTGCAGTTAGTTCAACAAGCGTCTTCACTGAAATCAGTTACATATTTAGTAGCTACAATATCAACAGATATTGTAGTTTTATAAACTTAGTTAAGCTGTAAGTATTCAGCAGAACTCCCTCAAGTTGTAAAGTGATGGCTGAAAGAATCTAAAATGATGGACTGTAGGCCTAAACCAGAAATCAGGGCTCTTTAGCCAACAAAACAAAACCTTAAGTATCTCCATTTTACTATATGTATAGTTTGTTTTACAAGATCATTCTAATAAACATTATTGTCCACAGTGAGCTGAGGTTATACAGTATATTGGTGTGTCAGAATCTATCATTTATAGAAACTGCACTTGGAATCATTTACACATTTGCCCTTAACCTTGCACTCTGCAGCTGGGGCCCAAGAGTGACGGATATGCTATGTAACAGTTACCATCTTCTTATCTCTCTGACTTGAGCAAATGAAATTCTGTATCCTGAGCTCAAAAGAGAAAAACTTACGAATAGTACAGTGCACTGTTGTCATCCATTTGTGGTCAACAATGACCTCTCAATCTCTACCCCAGTGGCTCTCAAATATTTTTTTATTGAGACACTCAATAAAAAATACATTTTACTCTTGACTTGGTACCTATACACATATAACTGAAAACAAAAGTTTCAAGAAACAACACTTAACTACAAATTAATGCACTCTGAAACTGTCTATTCTCACCTATTACACTGTTTTATAAAATGCTACTGGCAACCAACCAAAATGATTTCATGACCCACACTCTGAAAAAGACCGTACTATACTACAATCAGTTTAAAACCAAAACAAGGAGTTACAAATAAAGATTACCTCTAAGCACAGTGATCTCTATTTCAGTTAATTATCAAAAACACTAACCTCTAGGTGTTAATGATGTCTGCTTCTCAGCCTCTGCTTGCTGTCTCAGATTAGCTGGGATATTATTATATATTCTCTTATAGTGATTGTACACAGCTACTGAAAGCACCTTCTTAGCAAACGACTGGCCGACAACATACTTGTCGAGGTAGTTATAAATCTGAAAAATGATTAGGTATGATTAATTTACTATGTGCTAGCATAAAAACATACATTAAAAAGTTATGTACCGAGCATATGTGCTTACAATCTTAAACTTGAATAAAGATACTCATTAAAAACGAAATGCCAAGGGCACGATGCATTATGTAGCAATGATTCAGAGGTCCTTTAGGGTTTACCCTAAATGAACAAAAACACAATTCATTTGTTCTCTAGCTTAACAAAGTATCTCTGTACTAATAGTATGCTAGTTTCTAGCCTATAAACAATGCAACTGATTCTAATTTTTTAAAAAACATTAAAGTCACTTAGAATACCTACACATGCCATCAAGGGTCTAAAATATCATTGTTAATATAAGTCCTTAACTTAAAACCTGCGTACACATCTCTCAATCATATGAGTAATATTTTTCATAAAATCACCCTGTTTAGAAAAAAGCATTATATAGTCCAAAGTCATTACACTAACAGTATCTATGCATTTTAATACTCACAAATGAACATTTAGTTTTTTTACTCAGAAACTAACTTTAAAGCTAGTCATTTATTTAAATGGTAATCTAAAAGCTTAATTCTTAACTAAGGCTCTACGCTATACTCGGATATTGCCAGCAGCTTCAACTCGGGGCAAATTCCTTCAGCTTTTAGTGAATAGAAATGAACCGTGTATATTTACCAACTCCTGAAAACAGTTAAATTGTTTATTTTCTAGAACTACAACTCAGATGCCTAATGCCTACACAAATTAGTGGAGAATATAAAGTTTAATAGCTACATTTCTATTACGTTACTTATTTTTACATGACAAACACGTAAACATATTTTTGTTGACATACAGTTTATTATAGGTTTTTAAAACCTTTTTCACTCCTTATGTAACACCCATGAATTAATAAATCTGCCATAGCACATCTGGAAGTAGAAACAACTGTACTGGGATTTCAGCACAGGAGAAGAAAACCACACTGAGGCAGAGGGTAAGAAAGAATCTGTGTGTGGAAACATCTGAGACATGGCTGCACACAGGCACACAGCCAGGGGCCAGGCTCCCAGTCTTCAAGGCGTGCACACAGAGTACCCAATGGAGCTGCTGGGACACTCTACCGTGTTTCACAAGGCCAACTCACACTCCACCTGAGACTCCTGGAAAGAAGCCACATCACAAAAGCAACAGTGCTACACAGGGGAGCGCTGGCACCCTGGCCACCAAGAATCTACTTGTTACGTTGTTAGACTGAAGGCAGTTTTACCACAAAATAGACTAACTTAACGGGGAAAATTGCAGGCTAGTGTTATTTAGGGGCCCAAACTAACAAAAATAAATCCACAGACACTCTACTGTAATAATAATATTTTAGATTAATTTCATATTACCACTATTTTAATAGTTGTCTAACTATATTTCATTGTTACTGAATGTAGTAATAATGACATGGGAAAAAAGCAACAGACTCCATACCTAAATTCCAAGTATCAAATATCTGTAACAACTTAGCCAGATACAGTCCATATTAAGAACTTACAATACTTGTTTACATATTAGCATTAAGACTCAGTAAAAACTGGATTGAAGAGAGAATGAAATGTTCTCAAGATAAAATACTTGTAAGATTGAGCTAAGACCTATACCTTCTTGGGAGGGGGAGGTGGCTTCTGTTGGAACGCCAATTTTACAGCTTCTGCTGCCGATTCGGGTTCTTTAATTATGCTTTTCTTTGAGTCTGCTTCAGATAGCACAACAAAAAAATGATGACATTTTTCACACTTCACAAAACGGGTGGATGCTATAAAAGAAAACAGAAGTCAGCAGAGGAAAATAAAACAAAGAATTGAAACAGTATTTAAATTTAAAGACTCACTGTAAAAGAAAGCTATGCACTTGACAGAGTGTGCTGCAGCTCACCCTACTAGCCATGAAAAACAACAGCCAGGTTGACACACTAAGATGAGCCGACTAAACTACCTTTTTTTGTTCATTTCCACTAGGTTCTTTCATTTTGTGATACACTTCATTAATAGAAAAGATTGGTTTAGATTCTTTCTACTTCCCATTCACAAAAGTTAATTTAAAAACCCACCACTATGAGATTAGTGAGTAATAATTTATTTCATTGGAACACTTGAATGAACTGTGAAAAAAGTAAAATACAAGTAGATTAATCTATTTCCAACATTGTATTATGAAAATTTTCAAATACACAGAAAAATTGAAAGAGATAAATCTGTTTTAATCCCAAACAATGTAAAAAGGCATATGCTTCAGGTTCTCTCAAAACATGAGCATTTTTGAAACCTTAACTTGGTAAAGATATAAAATTATTTCATACCTTACTTACTTTCATCTTTAACTATTCCACTAATTCCTATTTGTCTGACCTAAAAACCACTAACAAAGTAACAACTTTCTCAGTCATACTGACTCAATTTAAAGATTATCATACAGCTTTCGAATACAACACAAGGCAGTTCAAAGTGAGAATAAAAAGCTTCTCAATTTTAATGCATCAACAATAGAATATCCTCTGTTACGCCAAAGGTGTTTTTTTTCCCTCTTTCCTCTCTTTTTTTAAAACATGGCATTAGAATGTAGACATATGGGCATATATTCTTAACCGTCTCTAAGACTAGCCCTACCTCCAAAAGCAGCAGGGTGGAGAATCCTGTATAGACTATTAACAGAAGTAAAAGTTACGTAAGAATTAGCCACCTCTTGGTACGTCTAGGTAATACATTTTTGTCTTTGTGTAATCTAGCTAGACAGGTAGAGCTACAAAGAAAAAGAATCAAGAAACTAATGGGAATTTCTGTTCTTGGAATATTATAAATATATAGAGATCTACCCATAGATTACAGGAAAAACTGTACTGGCAAGCACACCTAAATTTTACAAAATAATCTAAGTGAAAAAAATAGACATTTCCACGTTTAAAAAATAAATTTAATTACTAATTTAATTCTTATATTTGCATTCTTAAACATAAGGCCAATCAAAACTAAATTCTGGATAAATTTTAACAGCAAAAAAAAAAAATTTTTTTTTTAAGGACTAACAGCAAATTCTAAACATCCATGTTTTCTATTTATTGACCAAAACATAAAGATCAAACTAGTCCAAGTACCTTTGAATAACGTAAGCCCAAATACATAATCAACATCTCCCATTAACAGGAAAGACAATCAATGCTTTTATTTTCTAATAAGGTACCAGTTTCCAGTCTTACTAACGGTAAACAGGGGCAAGGATTCAAGGGCAGAGAAGCCTCTGATCTAGTTCAGAATGTGTGACAGGAAAATCCTGCCTGAAAACATAAAAACAAATCATGTGTCTAGGGAAATTAGGTCAAAGGGAAAGAGCTTAAACACCAACAAATTACTTACCTCTTTTCTTACTGTTGAAGGGTTGCTTAAATTCTACTTGAATATTTGTAATAAAATTTTACACTGAAACTTGTTTAACATATACTTAAGTTCAAGGATTCAATTTTATTTATCAAAATAGGATTTAAAAAAATAAAAGCATTTGCAATGATATGTTTTTTAGTCCTAAAAACAAGGGTTAAAAATCTAATTTTCTTAAATTGTCAGGGGATAAACAAACCTTTCCTTTTAATGATTACTATAAGTATTTTACATTCCTGTTTACAGATTCCTGTCCCCAGTAAACATGCTTATATATGATGGCAAAGACAGCCTACCTTAGCAAAAACCTTTTCAGGAGATTTGTTTAAATGAAAGTTCCTCAAGATTTTGAACATGTTTCAGGGTCCAACATAAAATCTCCAAACCATTACAGAGAAGTTCAATCTCCACCCAGAGACAGTAGTATAGTAACCCTTCAAAAAGTATTATGTACATAAAAATATATGCAACTAAAGGCTCTACCTTAAATAAAAGTGGGGAGACTATTCATTCATATCTGACACACAACACCTTAAATATTTACTATCTGGCTTTTTACTGACTCCTGCTCCATAGCATTTAAAAGGAAAGGACTACCCACAGATGGGGAGAAAATATTTACAAGTCATATATCTGATAAGGGTCTAATATCCAGAATATAAGCTCCCTGTGTAGTGCAAATGGTTTGTGCTCAACTGCTAGCCTGAAGGTTGGCAGTCCAACCCAGCCAGCAGCAGCTTTATGGAAGAAAGTCCTGGTGATCTGCTTCTATAAAGATTACTTAAGTATTTTAAATCCTATGGAACAGTTTTACTCTGTAACATATGGGGTCAGAAATGAATCAGAAATCAACTCAATGACAATGGCTAAAAAAAATCCAGACTATGTAAAGGACTCTTATAATTCAACAATAAAAAGACAAATAAATAAATAAACCACATAGGGGACAAAGTTATGGATACTTCTTATACATAACCAAACACCTCCAAAATTGGTTTTCTGGGTTTGAAGGCTTAGGACCATAGTCTCATGGGACAACTCAGTTAACTGATATAATATAGTTCATAAAGTGTACGTTCTATATCCCAATGTGGTGAGTACTGTCTGGGGTCTTAAAAGCTTTCGAGTGGCCATCTAAGGTATATCTAATGGTCTCTACTTGTCCGGAACAAAAGAGAAAGAAGGAAACCAAAGGCTCAGAGAAGAAAGTAGTCCACAGGACTGAGTTTACATGAACCACAGCCTCATCTACCCTGAGATGAGAAGAACTAGATGGTGCCTGGCTAACACTACCAACTATTCTCATCAGGGTCACAATAGATAGATCATGACAGAAAAGGAGAAAAATGTGGAACAGAACTCAAATTCTTAAAGAGTCTAGATTACTGGACTGGTTGAGATTAGAGGACTCCCTGAGACTATCGTCCTGAGATACTCTTTAAACCTTAAACTGAAATTATCCCTTGAGGTCACCTTTTACCTAAATAACAAATTGGCTCATAAAATAAAGAACATCACCTGTGACTAATGAGCTCCTTTAAAAAATTGTCTACATGAGACCAAATGGTCAAAATTATTCCAAAGCAAAGATGAGAAGGTAAGGGGGCAGGGTAACTAGAGTACTGGAAATGGTACAACCAGAACAGAATGAATGAGAATGATGACACATTGTGAAAAATGTAAATAATATCACTGAATAGCTTGTGTAGAAATTGTTAAATAGGAACCTAATTTGCTGGGTAAACTTTCACCTTAAACACACACACATGCATACACACGCACACACACACGCATACACACGCATACACACGCGCGCACACACACACACACACACAAAGACAAGTAATCCAATTAAAAAATGGACCAAGGATTTGAATACACATTTCTTCAAAGAAAATATATAAATGGTCAATAAATGCATGAAAAGATGCTAACATCATTAGGTACTAGGTAAATCCATATCAAAACCACAGTGAGATACCACTTCATACCCACTAGGATGGCTATAATAAAAAAGACAGATAATAACAAGTGTTGGTTGATAATAACAAGAAGATGTGGAGAAACTGGAAACCTCATACACTGTTGGTGGTATTGTAAAATGGCGCAGCCTCTGTGGAAAACAGTTTGGCATTCCTCAAAAAGTAAACAGTTTACCATATGACCCAGCAATTCTATGCCTAGGTATATACCCAAAAGAATTAAAAACACATGTCTATACAAAAACTTGTACACAAATGTTCACAGCTGTATTATTCACAATAACCAACAAGCAGAAAAAACTAAAACGTCCATCAACAGATAAATGTATAAACAATGGATTATTATTCAGCCATAAAAAGGAATGAAGTACTGATACATGCTACAAGATGGGTGAACCTTGAAAACATTATGCTAAATGAAAGAATAAAAACCCTAAAGGACAAACACTGTATGATTCCACTTATATGAGGTATCTAGAACAGGATAATTTTTATTTTTAATTTTTTTAAATTGTACTTTAGATGAAGGTTTACAGAACAAAATAGTTTCACATTAAACAGTACACATGTTGCCCTATGACAATGGTTAAGAACCCCACTACATATCAACATTGTCCTTACTCAACCTTGGGTTCCCTATCACCAGCTTTCCTGTCCCCTTCTGCCTTCTAGTCCTTGTCCCTGGACTGCTGTGCCTCATTAGTCCCGTAGAACAGGATAATTTAGAGAGATAGAAAGTAGAATAGATGTTACCAGGGGCTGAGGGGAGGGAGAATGGGGCGTTACTGTTTAATGGGTACAGAGCTTCTGTTTGGGATGATGAAAAAGTTCTGAAAACAGATAGTGGTGATGTTACACAATACCGTGAATATACTCAACACTGCAAAATTGTACACTTAAGAACTATTAAAATGGAAAGGTTTATGTTCTATATTTCACCACAATAGAAAAAAAGAAAAAAGTCAGACATAAAATGTCAGATATCGCATAACTCCATTTATACAAAATGTGCAGAATAGACAATCCAATAGAGACAGAAAGTAGATTAATGTCTGCCAGGGGCTGGGGGATAAAGGGCAGGGAGTGACTGCTAACAGGTATGGGTTTTCTTTTGGGGTTGATGAAAATATTCTGGAGTTAAATAGTGGTGATAGTTATACAACTTGGTGAATATACTAAAAATCACTGAATTGTACACTTTAAAAGAGTGAACTGCATGATATGTGAATATCTCAATAAAAAATTAAAAATAAATTTACAAAAAGAAGGGATTAGATATCTATATCAACATGCATAGCTCTCAAAAACATTGCTGAGTATTACAAAAAAAAAGGCAACAAACAAACAAAACCAGGAATAATATGATACCATTTTTGTTTTTTAAAAGTCATGTTCCATGAAGATGTATCCCCAAAACTACCTTTATCCATAATGTTCTATATTTTTTTAAAAGGGGGATATATATATATATATGTTAGAGATTGAATTATGTTCCCTAAAAATACATGTTGTAAATGCTAACCTCTATGCCTGTGGTTATAATCCCATTTGGATGGGTTGTGTTTCTTATGTTAATGAGGCAGGATTAGTGTAGGGTGTATCCTGAGTCAATCTCTTTTGAGATATAAAACAGATTAAACAAGCAAGCTATGAAGCAGAGATGGGGGAAGAGAGATGCCAAGCCATATGAAGACTGCCCAGGAGCAGAAGCTCAAAGAGACAAGGACCTTCCTCCAAGGCTGACAGAGAGCCTTCCCCTACAGCTGGCATCCTGAATTCGAACTTCTAGCCTCCTAAACTGTGAGAAAATAAAAATTTGTTTGTTTATGGTTATTTCTGTTATAACATCACTAGATAACTAAGACACATGTATTCCTCAGGTATTCAAAAATGTCCAAAAAAGTAGACAACTACCTAAACAGGCCGTTTACAAAAGAATCACAAGTGGCCAGAAAGGATATAAAAAGGTATTTATGAACTAGTAACCAAATAAATGTAGATTCAAACAAGACTCTCTTTAGGATGAGGAAGACCCAATTTTCAACGAGTAGACACAGAAGGTTCTCAGGCATTCAAAAAGGATGCATCCTGGAGAAACTTTCATTAGGGGTATGCAAAACCAAGAGGGCTCACTGACTGCTGGGGCCTGTTATTCCTGCACAGTAAAACTCCAGAGGACAGGGAGAGTGTCTTGTTCATCTGCCTATATTCTGAGCCTAGCAGTGTCTGCCTCAACAGATGTTTGATTACTAAAATGTGTATTAAGTGAGTACTCACCTTCATTCTTTCCATTCATATTCTCTACTCCTACTCCCAATTAGAATTCCCAAAGCAAACAGACCTCAGCCTTAAGTTGCTTAGATAACACTAAAGCAGTGTTTTCCACACTTGGTCTAATTATTAAATATATAGGTTCTAGGACCCTACCCCAGGTCTAAAGAATCTTAATCTCTAGGGAAGGAGCAGGGAATCTACATGTATAAATATCACCCCAGGGAATTAACACAACCTGGCAAGTTTAAAACACTGCATAAAAGAAAAATAAATTTAACTAATGTCTAGAGGAGCTACTGGAGCCCTTGTGGCACAGTGGTTAAACGTTAGGCTGCTAACCAAAAGACTGGCAGTCCCAATCCACCAGCCGCTCCTTGGAAACCCTGTGGGGCAGTTCTACTCTGTCATATAGGGTTGCTATGAGTCGGAATCAACTCAATGGCAGCGGATTTGGTCTTTTGGTTTTAGAGGAGCTAGTGATCGCTGGTGGCAAAGTGGTTAAGCGTTTGGCTGCTAACCAAAAGGTCGGCAGTTTGAATCCACCAGCTGCTCCTTGGAAACCCTATGGGGCAGTTCTATTTTGTCCTACAGGGTGGGTCACTATGAGTCGGAAATGACTTGATGGCAAAGGGTTTGTTTGTTTGTTTTGGTTTTAGTTAGCCCTCAGGTATCTCCAGTTAGTAGAAATGTATGGGATAGGAACTTCTAAATAGCAAATCCAATACGTGATCTTGGATGAGACAGTACTTCAGCTTGGTGCGCCTCAGCTTCTTCATTTATGAAAACAAGGTTGTGAGAATGAAACTATACATGTTGGCATTCGTTAAATGTTAGTCTCCTTCCTTTTCTCCTCTAAGAAACTATTCTGTAGGTTTGTAAAGGTTGAAATCTTTCTCTGAAAAAAAAAAAGGAGATTTTTCACGGAATCCCGCCTTTCTGGAGTCACTGAGGCTGGATGACCCCCTCCCCCACCAACTGGTACCCTGAGGAAATCTTTAAACCTTAAACCAAAACTATCCCCTGAAGCCTTCTTAAACCAAACAATAGTTCAGCTCAATAAGAAAAGAATGTCTGCCTTGAGCACTGCGGATCTCTTAAAGAATTATCTATGTAGGATTGAACTGACAACAGTAACTCTAAACATTAGAAGAGAAGTTTAGGGGGTAGGAACTTTGTGTTAATAACTGTGAAATAATTTGGAAAAGGATATGGAGACAGGTGGCACAACTTGAAGAATGTAACCAATGTCACTGAAGGGTAGATGTAGAAATTGTTGGTGTTTTGTTGTGTAAAATTTCACCAAAACGAAAAAAAAGAAAATTTTTTAAATGGTAATTTTCTTGATTAAAATATATTTAATGAGATACTACCATTATGGATTGAATTTTGTTATTACATTAGATCAAATTTGTTAATAGTAAAATGTTTAGAAAGTTACATTATCCATTTCTACCACTTTCATTCTATGTTGTGATGCAAATTATTATTTGTTCAGACTGATTTTCCTCTTTCTTTTACTAGGCAAAACCATAAAGACAATCTCCAGTATTCCTCCTATATAACAGAGCTACTTTAAGTCTTTCCAAAACTGTGAACACATGCCACGTATAGTATTTTTTTTTCATACGGTGGCCAGTTAATATTAATGGTAAATGTGAAATTTTTTTTTTTTTTTAACCAGAACATTATTATTGGATTTATTCCAGTCTTATTCACACACACACACACACACACACACACACACACGGAAATAGACAATAACTGTATTAGAACACATTTTTAAAAGCTGCAATAAATGGACCAGAAATTTTTTTTTTTTAAGGGCAATATATAATAATTTATTCAGTGGTAGCTTATTTAATATACACAAAGTATCTATTATTTTATTTATTTATTTTTTATATTTTATTGTACTTCAGGTGAAGGCTTACAGAACAAATAGTTTCTCATGAAACAGTAGTACACATGTTGTTTTACGAC